CTTCAAATTTGCTGCTTAGATTACTTAATTAGCATATTTGATATTGCATTACAACAAATAAATGACTGCAAAAAAGAAGTTAAACCTTTTCTAATCAGTGCTTGTAATTGGGTATCCTAATGGCTCTTCTAGTCAAATCTCTGTTGATTATATGTGCTAAGTGTTATGTTGTTCACAAATGACACAATTTGTGATGACAATATATTTTGGAGTTTACGTACAGGAATACATAAATGTTACATTTGGAAAAAGGAAAAAATTTCTTGCATTTGGTGTAACTTTTTTTAAAGAAAATGCTTAACCTGCCAGGAATATAATAGTGCTCCTCCTCATCGTTTCTACCCACTAGCTCGAGCTGTCTCCGCTTTACATCTATTTCATTCATAACGGCTTTTGTGGCCTTCTGGCACTAAATCAAAGAATGGAGCTCCAGATTGGAGCTGGCTAGGATTTCTTCATCGGACCGGAAATGTTGATGAAATGGCCGCATTTTTTGCACAAGTTAGAAACAGATGAATTATATTAAAAATATTCGGATAAACTTGCCTTGAAGAGAAATTCCTTTAAAAACTATGCTTAATCTAAGCAATGATACTACTTTCCGAAGTTAAACTTACCATTCTGTTTATGCATTTTGGCGGCATGAATTTATCATCCTTTTAGATTCCTAAATTCATTAGGGCACAGCTGCATTCTGAAAATACAACACGTATTATACGTTTCTAAATTCATACAAATAATCCATATAAATTTCAAAACACTAATAAAATATAAGTTTAAATTCACCAGTTATAACCGACCTGTTTGCATTTCGAATTACTGTGTACGGCTTGATTTTCGGCACCAGCTCTTGAATAACTCTTGATATTGTGCCGGTAAGCCTTTCTACCACCGGGATATGGAAGATCACCGAACTTTCTGGTATAGTTTTGTGTCCCTGTTCTTCTGGGACTCGTATGGTTTGTGAACGTGGTGATTCAGAAATATGATCAAATATTACTGACGATGTCTCTCGCTGTCTTATCGCAAGCTTGTTTTACTTAATTATAATTACAAACAAATTTTACACATTCCTTTTTTCTTTAAATGAGAACTGGAACACATAATTTCCTGATTGTTAGGTTAACAAAGTTTCTTGGGAAAGCTTTCCAGTGAAAATGTAATTTTACGCATTATTTCCGTTGTTTGTCGAAAAAAATTTAATATTAAGAAACACGCATCTTTTCGTTCTCATTTTTCAATTTATTCCTTAATGAGTTTTTTTATTATTTTCTGAATGTTGCTTCCACACTGATTTTTTTTATTATTACTTAAAACAAATGCTAACTGCTGCCTTTCTTTTTTATATTTTTGATTGGTCAGAATCCTTAAATTTCACATCTTACTTCTTTCGTATCAGTTTGTTTAGTGCTTATCTCAGCTGGATCTCTTTGTTGTTTTTTGTTATTTTTCAAGTATTAGATTCATAAACTCACAACGGATCCGTCTGTATCCTGAAGTTTCTCGTGAAATTTGATAACAGCAGTTGCCTAATTCGTTCCATTTATCTTCTGCAACTATACTAAGGTTACCATTATTCAGTTCAGTATATTTCACGCGTAAAAAAACCATGACACTTGTAGCTATCTTAACTTTTTCACTGATATAATGAAAATTTGCAAGATTCATTACGTTTGAAGATTCTATCAATTTTGCGGCATTTTTCATGTCATCCGTAATCGATTGGAATTCGAAGAAAATTTCATTAATCTGAATTTTAAAAAAATGTAAAATTTGCACACTTATGGTTGGTATCTTAACTGATGTATCGTAAAAATATCAGTAAATAAATGAGCATCACATATGACAGCTACCTTTTTCCTCTACCAACTTGTTCATGTTCAGATATAATAATAAGTGGATTTTCCGAATTATCATCTTTTCATGAATCCTACTCTGTTATTGCTTATTTTCCGGCAATAATTCCACTACATTAACTACTGCCATGTATGATAGATTTTTCAGGGAAAAAAAATCATTTATTACTAAAAAAATGATGGAATAGCTTTATGACATTTTAAACTGTTAAATTCACGCTTGGATGAAAATACCACTCAAATAATGAAATTTAGCTATCGATGATACATCGATGATTATCGATAACTGATAATTTGTGTAAAAGGAATATAATAAAGGAATTATTTGTATTTTTATCTATCGATTAAATATTTTCTGAAATAAAGTGAATCACAATTTCAAGCGGGTTATTTATTACTTCAAATAAATATGACTTAGCATAATATCTAATACTTCAGAATTTTGGTACGAACCAGAAGGAATTTTTTTTTCTTAATCCTTATTAGATTAACACGAAAAAAACAAGTATGTCATAACAATGATATACTGCTTTCCTAGAGAAAGTGTCAAGTTATCCTGAGGTGATGCGGCAAATATGCCTTCGATTACTAAAGTTCAAATAGTCATTCTACTTAATTAATTAGTGATTTCCATCTTGTATTTACGCAGGTGGGGAATATTACAATCAGACAAAGAGTGTTGTTTGAGATGCAATTTTGTCTGTTTTTTCTTTGGTGAAAGGAAATGATATTATTTGTCACCGGATGATATTATCTGTCAACATTTTGTGAAGATTATATTTTGCATTTTTTATAAAGCCGATGGATATGTTTGAGTTTTTTTTTGAATTTTTATGGCTAAGAATATCTAACCTTCTCTCTATGATATTTTTCGGGCTTACTTTTCTGCTATTGGTATAGTTCCAGTTATTTCATCTTTGTAAATTAAATGTATAGTAGACAATCAGTCATCGGTTTGGTTATAACCTTCGAAAAAATATTTTTTATTGTTACCATATTGTCATATCCAAAGATGTTTCTCCGATTAGACATCGTTTCTCATGAAATTTTCTATCGATTCACATTCCGAACTGCCAATCTTCCTCATTTTAGGCCTGAAACACGCGATCATTGAAGGAGAGAGATCTTAAAACACACTAAATGCACGGATCAAAGTATCTGGAACAAAATAAATTAAGCAATCGTTTCAGTTTGTCACCGGTGAAAATAATAAGAATCAAACAAATCAATCGTTTAAATACAAACAATTCCCTTCTTTTCCCAAGTAAAACATTGCTGCAACTACTATGGAATATGCAAATGGCACTTAGGTATTGCAGAAAATTGTGTACACACTTATCGGAAATGTGGGGCAAATATCAGTGATAAAGATTATCACTTCTCGCTAAGTTTTCTCTTATGAATATGATAAATAGGCGTTTTTTCTTTTTTTTTATATTTGAAACGGTTCAAGAGCTAGGAACCTGAGGTAAAGAAGCAGTATGAAGGCAGTTAGGGTCGACCGGAAGTAATGGTTTAATTTCATTGTATCAGTGCTTCATTTCATGTAAACATATCTCAAATTTGAATAGTCATTCAATGTAAACAATAAAAAATATAGAACTTCATGTACAATGGATTTAAGTAAGTTAATTATAAATTCTGTTACAAATATTTTCAAGATACATTTCCACGTTTTTTTCTTTTCTTTAAATTTGCTTAACCTCAATTATTATCACTCAAAATCCCCAATTTTCCAGGAATTACTATCATTCGTCACCAATCATCATTGAGAACACTACGAATAAAGATGCGATTGTCGATTTTGCATCTTTATTAGTAGTGAATGCGACTTTATTTTTACTTTACGTTTATTAATTCAAGTGTGAAAGGACAAAAGCTAAATAATGCATGAAACATGTTCAAAATAGTTCATCTTGTTAAATTTAAAAACAAAAAAAGAGAAAAATACATTGTCCTTCAAATGCATATCTAAACAGCCTTCATCCGAACAAAGTTTACTGGTAGAATGAAATTACATTGCTGCATATTTATTAGCATAAAGGTTTTAGATACTGGTGTAGAACAGCAAATTCTTAATGAAATTTCATACCGCTAGTTATTAAACTTTTCCTACCGCTTGTTATTAAGCCTTTCGACTGGTTCAACAACTACTTAAAATAATCGAATTTCGTTAACCAGCATATCGTTATATCATAATGTCTTAGCTCAAGTTTTGGAATGTCCATCCCATCATACTTCTTCACTCTCGCTCTCTCGCAAATTCGATTTACCGGCTTAATTGCTATAAAATGATCAAGTAGTTTAACACCCAAAACCTAGCTAAATGCATTAATACTCATATATTCACAATAATGTAACAATAATGCATCGAAACTTACCAATCAACACAAAAAATACCTCTAAACTAAACAATTCAAATCAGGGAAAAGAAAATATTGTCAAAATTAAAACATTTAAATGACAGAAGATATGTGTTCTGTAACATGAAAATTTATAGTTTAATGTTATTTTGAAACAAAAATTCATTAACATATCTATCTAGGCGACAATCACATGTTATAAGTCGTTAATCAATTATCACAAATGAAAACCGAGGATAAGACTTGTCACCCAGATGTATAGAGCCGAACAGAACGGAAATTTTGCAAAATGATTCTGAGATGATAAAACCTGCATAATATTCTTGATCCGAAATTCTATATCAATTGTTGTTTTTCATCAAATCTTTCAATACTGTACTACTTAGCGTCTTAATTAATTGTGGTGACATAAAGTCGTCCTGAAATAGATATTACAGTTTTAAAAGTTCTTAAGATTTATGGTGATTAACATATTTCATGCTTTCTACGATTCCATCAGCGTTCTCATACTTCTTATGGCTTTATCACCGAAACGACTCAGTATCCATTGTAGCATGCTAATCTTTCAGTGGGACAACTGTATGTCGAATATGTCGATAACTAAAAGATTCGAAATAAGGGCAGCATTTACGATCTATTAAGAAAGTTTTTTGGAATTTGCAACATCAGTTTGTTTAAAACTTCGGTAAAATATATCCTATCATACTCCAACGTTGCAGCCAGTTACTACAGTACACTACGAAAAAACATCTTGGATGAGATCTTCGTGGAATAATTTCCTTCATTTCGAATATATCCTTTTCAAAATTTGTTAATTCTGTACAAGATAAAACCTGTTGCAACTCTAAAATAGGATTCCAATCCAATAATTCATGCACAACATTCGGAAGTGTTGGTGCATTCGAAGGGTCGTAACAAATGTTTTCTTCAACATGATATGATTGATTCATAATTCCAACTAAAACAAATAAAGAATGGAAAAAAATGTAAGTTTTGAAACTTTGCTTGTAACCAATTACAGATACAAGTTATAAAAAATGATTACCTGACATTGCTCCTATGTTGCTCTCCCGGTATTCCTCGAACAAATTGTTGAAATCATTGAAGAATTCCGAAATACCCATATAAGAAAGAAATTCTGTGTCCTCTGTAGAATCATTATCAGTATAATTTGTATAAAATGTGCTTGCAAGATAATCCAATATGACTGACACATCGTACTGCTTTTCGATAATTCCGATTACCAGTTTTGTATCATAAGTACTTTGCGAAGAATATTCCATTTTCTGCGCGTCATCTCTCGCATATTCCATATTGAATATCGCCATTTCATCAAGTCTATCTTCCCTTCTATCAGTATCACTTTCATTATTACCATGCAGAACATCACTAACGAAATTGGTAAAAAGCTTTCTGCATGAATAAGTCTTTAAATTTGAATCCCAAGTATCTGATATATCAACAGGTAGATCGACACTAGAAATGTTCATTTCTAAATGTTGTTCGCTGATGAAATTGTCGGCACAACTTGCTTCTGATAACATCTCCCCCACATTTTCATCACTCGTTAAATTTTCGACTGTAGACAATTGATCATAAAACTTTCTGAATACGTAATCAAAAGCTAATCCAACTCTGTAATAAAATGAGTTCAAAACATATTAAAAAATTTGGTTACTTAAAATTTATTACATTTAATTTATCTCTCTATATATAAAAGAGTATCGCCTTTTTTTGACGTCGTTATCTTTCAAATAGACTAATTTACTTTCGCTTATAAATGCTATTCTTCTTTGCAATCTATACGAAAAGTTATTCCGTCAGCACTATCTGTGTATCGATCAATTAGTATCCAGAAACTAATCAGACCAGCGAACGACTGAGTTTAAAACTTATGGGTAACTTTAAGATAACTTGAAGATAACTACCATTATCTTTCTTTTTTCTCCGTGCAACTGCTATCTACGGCTTCTCAAACTTGTCCATAGTTATATAATCAGTTATTACAGGTAGTTAGATGTGAAAACTAACCCCCATGAATGTCTGAATGAATCAACCAATAACTCGTCCAGATTGTCATGTTCTTCTTTGCAATAATACACTGTTTCTGTTTCAGAGAAACTTAAATTTTGCAATTTATCCTCTACCAAAAGTGATGAATTGTTTGAGATGGCAGTTATGCGAGAGAACGTCAATAACGAGAGGAATGACCGTAGTTCCCCTGAACTGCAATGATCCGAATACTGGATCACATGCTCTCGTTCACCGCTAAAAATCATTGACACAAAAAAAAAGAAAGAATTTCAAGCAAAATATTGTCGAAAATTTAGGAATGAACGGAACGGATACCTAACGATTCTTCAATTCTTATTATGAACACTGCTCTGGAAAGTCATACGTCGCTTACATTCAATGTTAAAAGATGCATAACATTAAATAAATAGATAATTGGAGTGAATGATCAGAGTATATCCGGCTAACACTATACTGCTTTGATGTTTCAGAGAATTCCGATATTCTTGATAAGAAATAATCGTTTCCGTAAGAAGTTTCATAACAAATCTACTGGTAATGATCTGATATTAATATGAAAAAGTATCATAGATTTTGGAATTTAAAAGCTCATAATATTAAACGTTCAAGTAAATGTATTAATTCATCTGCTAGTTGGAATTTTCTTGGATATGTTCTGCTAATGAATAAATGGGAATGAGAAATTATAGATAAATCTACTGCTGATCATGATGAAACATTCAATAAATAAATGAAAGAATTGGTGAAAAAAAAAAAAACAATTTTGCAAACAGAATCTCTTTCAGATTAATGCAAAAAGAGAAAGTTCGAGATATCGCTAAACAATTTCGGCTGAGAATTCTTACTTTAATGATATATTTGGCATAACATAAGGTGCCATGGAAATCCTGATAATATGAGAATCAGTTGTTGAAAGAACTTCTCGACTTTCTCTAAAAAAAAGAAAGTTAAAATGATGCATTATGCTAATTGTGACTGAAGTTGCCTAGATATGAAATCATAAATTTCAATTCAATGAAATAAGTACTAAACGAGGAAGCAATTAAATTATATATTGGAAAAATCAAAACATATTTAAAACGTAACACTTTCGGAATCAATAAATAAGGTGAGAAGTGAAGTATACAATACTTTCAGCACTATCTGTTCCTAAAAATTAAGGCATCTAAAGATAACAAACATTTGTGAGCAAGTCCAAATGTAAGTATCGCCTTTCGTTTCCGAAAAATAATCATCTATTCCGAGAATCTGAGCAATTTCAAAGCGTTCCGGATGCAGCCAAATTTTACACTGCAAAGTTTTGCTTTACTCCTACACAAAAATTTCATTATTTTTGTAAAAACATTTTTAGAAATTGCAACATTTTGGTCATCAATGGTAATGTAAAATCCCCTCCCGTCTAATGAAGGGTAACAAAGCTCGAGATATGACGAATCTGAGAAATGGCAGTTGATTAGGGACGTAATCAGAAAAGTCAACGAGGCAAATTGAACCAATATAACAAAATTAAATCAACAATTAAACCAACCACTAATAATTAATGAAGAATACCTTGAGTTCGCGAGAAATGTTGACTAGAAAACTTTCACAACCAATTATAGGCACCGGTATAGCTACGTTATCAACTCCGTTATATTTCAGTATCCGAAGAAGGTTTGCCGCTTCCTTTGCTGAAGATCGCCTGTTTGGATATTCCTCTCTCGTGAAATCAACGTAATTTGAATCGATGCAAATGACATCAAATTTTTTCTTAAAAAAATTGGCACCACTTTAATCGGTTGGAGGAAAATCCTTTCCTAATACGAATTCATTTAAAATACCAGTTTTACGATTCTAAAATATCACATTTATAATTTCATGATCGTCGCTTCACGGGTTCAGTTTCTGATTCTACAACCTTAAAATTCTGCTTTCATATTTATCCTCCTTCTACGACATCAGAATTCTGTTTTGCATTTTCAAGACTTTGATCCTACGTTTTCTACAAATCATAAATTTTAAAAGTTATATAAAGCATCCAAAAAAAAAGAAAAAATGATGAATAAAAATTTACCTCTTGCAGTGCTGATAAAGCGATCACATTCTGATAAAATCTTGTATCAGCTCGAAAAAAACCCGTATACAAGATGCGGCCCAGAGTAGTACGATGTTCACCTTCAATGATCAACATAACAGAACCAGGTGCATGATTTGCATCTATAAGCATCACCCGAAATCCGTTCATTTTATGCCAGACATTCAAATCTAATGGTCGAATCCATTTATTCAATATCCTGTATCGTTTTCTTCGAGAACTTATCACAGATAACAATTTGGCTGTTATCGGTGAACAATATATTCCATTATTTTGCCATTTACTCTACAAAATTACTTTCAAACTAACTATCTCGACATATGGACGGATTAAAAATAATTTGATAAAATCGATCATATCTCAATATTTCTGTACGGAATGTACGCACGATGGCTATTTAAAACAATTTCTCGAGAATGGTGTGCAATGAAACGCATGCACAGAAGCCAATTTCTCAAGAACATCTACTAACCATCACTAAGTCAAGCAAATTAGAATTATTGCTCAAGTTAACAAATTATAACTAGCAAACTAAGTGATTTAAATGAAAAACAAATTCAGATGTTACATCTATCATATTTAATCTCGGGTTTTATTTTTTTAGTCTACCTAGGTATTTCAAAAATTCGAGTCGAACTCACAGTTAACTTGTGGCAATGATAAGGATTAGCACCGGAGAGGAAACAGTACTTGACATCTGGATTGGTACCAAATAGGTCGATCGCGATAAAATTGTCAATCACCAAACCTGCTTGTTTAGTTGGAAGAATCATCCCAACTTCCTTCCAATAAATCCAATGAACTCAAATTTTTGTAATTAGGTTGAAGATATCAATTCAAATGATGTTACATGACTTGCTCTATGTCTATAAAGATATTCGTGGAAATAACAAGAAAAAAGAATTTATCAGAAGTACCGATGCGCAACTGCCGCCAGAAGTGTGAGGAGAAGTTAGAATTGAGATAGACAAGAACCATGATACTACAAGGATAGCGCGAGACTAAACTTATTTTATAAAAATAATCTCATTAGTATCACTCAATCAAAACTCTTTTCGTGCTAATCGGACGCTATTTCTTTCTTCCTCTTCATCCTGTTCTTGGCATGAGAAAATAAAAAAAGAAACAAAAATGAAAGGAGAGAACACAAGAAAAAATGTAATTAGATTTGAAAACAAATTACTTTTGAAATAGAATTAAAATTAGATCAGTAATAAAAATTAAAAATCGACACTAATGTTAAACTAAAATTAAAAAAAATAACGAAATAGAATTAAATGAAGAAAGTAGCAAAAGCAAAGCATTTATTGTCGTATGGTTGACCTTTTATAATCGACCTTTCCTTACTTTCTATAAAATCATTTAATATCTATTCATTTAAGCTAATCTTCTTCATAATTTATTTCTAATAATGAGCTTAATTTTCAAAATTGGAACATTGATACTAAACTTTAAAAAATTGAGACTTCTTGAAAAATTCAAATTTCAACAAATAATTTATT